TACTGGCTGGTGACTAATGATGGTGTTTACCACTGGAATAATTATCATCTGCTAATCTCAAACTTGATTTCTTCCCTCCTCGCAAATGCAGTGTTCGTAGACCTACAGTAAAAAGCAAAGTTAAAACAAAAAAAAGCCATAAAAGTACACCGGAGCGGTTTTGTCTTTAGCCAGTGCGTGTTCCGCAGATGCCAAATTCAGGTGAAATGCGGGAGAGGAGGGCGCACCTGTCGCCAGGTGCTCGGCCCCGTTTGGCCGAGAGCGGGTGTCACAAGGACAAGCTCTTCTTCAAACGCCTCCCCGTGCGTCAGGGCAAACCCTGCGGCCGAGCAAACCCGGGCGTTTCTCTGGGAAGCGGTGCCGAAGCGCCTCCCAGCCCCGCTCGTCAGCTGCTACAGGTGTCTCTGCTTTAAATCTGGGCAGGCTGCTCCGACACAGCGATTTTCTCCTGGTCCTGAAGGAGCGACAATGTTATCTGCAAAATAGGAGCAAATTACTCGGGCAAATAACCCACCGCTGCAGAAGAAACCTGCTCAAGGGAGGTCCCGATAAAAATAAAGGCCTGTAGCCTGCAGGACTCGGGGATTTGGCCCGGGATCAAGATATTTCTCTCCAGGAAGCTGTTGTGGCTATAAAAATGTCTGTCTTTTTAATCATTGGTTTTGTTTGTCTTGTCAAGTCCCAGCTGAGATTTCCCTTCGCAGTTTCTCTAAACATCTGGTTGTCCTCGTCCCGTTATCGTCAGCCTTGAAGAAAAAGGCCAGGCGCTCCGACGTGACGCGATTCCTTTAATCGTCATTAAATTATTAAAAATAATAAACGTGTGGGATTTTTTTACTTGTTCCAGCTTCAAGCTGCGAGCTCTCCTTAAACATGAAGCTCAGCGTATCGCCTCTCGAAAAGAAAAAGGGTGATTCCTTCAGCTGGCATGACGGGGGGGGTTTAGCAGAAATCGCTCTTGTGAGCTTTGCGATAACATTCGAAAGTTGCCAGAAGCGTCGTTTATTATTACACGTGCAGATAATTAACTCCGGCTGCCGATGGAAGCGCCGCATGGATGTGGTATTGCCCAGAACAATTAAAGAACAATAATGTGGTTTGCAAATGCCGAGGAGGACCGAGGAAGGCTGTCGGCGTTCGTGTTGCACATGATCAATTTTGCCAACTTGACGTTAATTAACGCGTCGAGACCAGCTTCTGCGCTGCTTTAAGATAAACCCATGCTGACGCTTTTCCATTCCGGGCTGGGAACAAACGGCCGGATAAATGGGCTGAGAGAGGAACTCTGAAAATTTTGTTTAAAATTTCACCCGACCCTTCGAGCTTCCAGGCTAACGGTGGTAACGACGGCCCTATTTTGGGAAAACCCCCCCTCCGCTTCCTGATTTCTCAGTTTTTTCCTAATCCCTTCCCTTTCCTGATCCTATAATCTGTAATATTTGATATTCCCACTTTAGTATTGTTTGTAGGTTGGACGTGCCCGTGCTCCGTTTCACACCCAACACGTGCGTGGGCAGAGGTGACGCTGCCCGGGGAAAAACCCCGTCCTCCAAACACCCTCCTTGTTATTTGGGAGAGCTTAACTGAATCCCAGGTGGAATAAAGAGCGAAATCCACATTTCCCAATACTTGGCGGCAGCTGTCAGGCTCGAAGGAGCCTACTCTAAGACGTGTTTCCGTGCAGCGGGAAAGCTGTGTTTTTTGCAGCTGCCTTGTTTAAGGGGCAAAAGGGCCGCGAAATGTTGAAAACGTCGCCACCTGCCAAAGCAGCACAGCTGAGAGCCCTGATCCGCTCCGGCCTGCCCTGACTCCTGGAGAGCTTGAAACGCTGCCCAAAATCGAGAGTTTTAAGGCACAGCTGTTCCCTGTTTTGCTGCTGGGAAGTTTACAGGAGTTCTCTATAAGCTGGTGGTTACTTGGGTGCAAAATGCCCAGAAAAACCCTCCCTGGCACAGAACGAGGAGCAGGTGGAAGGTGCAGCTGAGGATGGGCGCCCAAGAAGGGCTTTGAACGCTTCCCTCGCCCTTCGCCGCGAGGCAGGAGCTGAATTTTTGTCCCGTCCCTCTGCGTTGGATCCTCCCCTTGGCGCTTTCTCTCTCGGCCCTGCCCGCCCCTTCGCTCGCCTTTATCTGACCCTCTCTGAGCAGCTTTTGCTTTGCAAAATTCCTGTCCCAGGCGGCTGCGTTTCCTCTCTCGCGCGGCCCTCGGCGTCCGACCCGCCATGGGTAAGAGATCCGGGTCCTGCCGGGATCCGTCGGCCGCGGTTCCGCGAGGGGGTCACGTCAGGAGAGACATGGGGCTGACGTTCTGTGTTTCTGCCACCTGTTTGAAGGTTTTACCTCTTTACGCTGCTGCAGACCCCCGTGGGTTTAAATCAGCAGCTGTGAGGCTCTCGGGAAATGCCTTTTTTGCTGCCGCTGAGCACCTCGTAGCACCTCGGCACTCAGAAACCCACCCAAGCGTTTGGGCTGGTTGGGAGCCCGAGGGACGCTTGGGAAGCTGAGGACCGGAATTGAACTCTTTCCTTGTGTATTTTTGTGGCAGACCTTGTAGTTTCTGTGGACTTTCACTTCTGGATGCCTGGGCAGGAAGCAGAGGGAGGGCTCTGAGAGGCGGCCGCTGTGTTTTGCCTGTGAGCGGTTCCCCCCGTGGTTTGGGGGGGGACCCTGTGACGTGGGGATTTCGTGAAACGGGGCCAGATCGAAGACCTGAGTGGGGAAAAAACCCCTCGTGACCCAGGCGACACCACTGATCCTGACTCAGCAGAAGTGTCTGGTGGGGTTTATCAGCCCGGCGCGACCGTTTGTGCCAGAGCTGCCTCCTTTTGGTCTAAAACCTCCTGAGGGGCTGGAGAGCTGCTGGGGGGTTCCCTCGGTGCGCTCTCCGGGGGAATCGATGGGTTCCCTATTTCCAGCCATCAGAGATGTAGCAAAACGCCCCCAAACCGAGTTGTTGGTTTGCTAGGGGGGCTCCCGAAGGAGCCGTCGGTTTGCTGTCCCCCCTGTCCTCTAAAAAGAGGAGCAGAACCGACGGAAAGGCTTGAAAAAACGCCGGGTGAAAGGGAACCGGGGTGGATCCCTCGATTCCCTGCGAGAGACAGCAGCAACGAAAGGAAAGGCGATGTTTTTATCAGCTCTCGGTGCGTGTGCACGAATAACTGCAGAGGAATAAGGAGGAGGTGGGCTTGTGGTAAATTCCGTTGTGAAAAAGGTGGTGTTGTCCAGCGAGGTGGTTACGGGAGGAGCGGACACGTTCAGCTCTAAACCCAGCGAGCCGCCGGCTGGAGGGAGATGTTCTTGGATTTACCGAGGCCAGAGAGGTGGGCTTGGGAAGCTGCTTGTGAGAAAATGTGCCTGTAAACGACTGGAAAAAAAACCCACCCCAACCCCTCGATGCTTTTCTCCTCGCTGGAGTCCGTAACCCACGTCCCGCGCCCTGGTACGCGAACCGCTCGCTCAGCTGCCAGACGAACGGGGGATCTGGAATGCCAGGAGCGGTATTAACGTCTTTAACCACGGGTTATTAGCATAGCGATGTAAATATTGTTGTTGGCGTCTCGTTACAAGATGGTGCAAATCACAGTTTCCTGACAAAAACCCGATTTTGTATTCGCAAATGAGCTTGGCATCGTGGAACGCGGCGAGGCTTGCCTCGTCCCCGGGCATCTCCCGGCACTTGGGCACGATGGTTCGGAATAAAAGAGTGTTTGAACAAGATCAGAGGGAAAGGAGGAGAAAAAAATGTGTAGGAGAAGGAAAAGAAAACGTTCATCGTCTTGCTGTATGTTTTCTCTGGAAAACAATTTGGCACAAATACTCTTTTTCGCAAAGTAATCTGCAGAAAACTATTTGCAATGCTAATTAAGCTGCGGTCTAATGCGCACCGAGTTCCTGCTAATTTAGGTGATTGAGAAAATTGGAATAAAGTTTAAATTACGGCTTAGACATAAATGGAACAAAGCAAACTTTGCGTTTTGTGTTCCCAGATAAAAATATTTCATAGAGAATGTGAAATTAAACCAGAAGAACTAAATGACTCTTTTTGAGGAGATCCCCTTGGTGAGGTTGGGAGCCGGCAGAGAAAAGCTCCGTAGTTAAACGGGCGCTGGAGCCGTCGCAGCCTCTGGATTTGAAGTCTTGGGTCGGTGGCGTCCTGGAATAAACTGTTGCTGCAAATTTCTCTTTCTAAATATCAGAGGGTGGCAAATAACTCGCTGGTTTGCTTAGTTTTCTTACAGACACTTGAGGCAGGGAGAGGGGCTGTGGTTTAGCCTCTCGGCACAAATTTCATTTTGTGTCGCGTTGGGAAAAGAAAAAAAAGCGCCGGCGTCCCGCTGCACAGCGCTTCCGAATTTTTGTGTGTATGTACTCAGGGCTGGAGCAGAAGCTCCTGCAGCTCCCTCGCTCTGGAAAAGCAGAGATTTCCGCGCGAGAGTTGAGGCTCTGAGCTCGTGGGGTTTCACAGCAAAGGGTCGGGGGGGTTCATCGCCCCCACTTCCTCGTGTCCTTTCTGGTCACCCACAGTGTCACCTCTTACCCAGGCTGTAAATCCTTACAAAGAACCACTTCCTCAGCATTTATATGCAGGGAAAGACTGGAGGCTTTCCAGTAATAATGAAAAGGGTTGTTCAAATTGGGCAATCTGTCTCCTTACTCATCTGGCAGTGATTCAGCAGCCCTCTGTAAAACATTTAACAGAATTTTCTTAAATCCCAGACCCTTGTCACATATAAATGTGCTTTAAAATTGTGAGGCTGAGCTCCTTGAGATGAAGGCCCAAATTCCCCGTTATTTTTGAGCCATTCTGTGTGTATTTCTGGAACCTTGAGTAACCTCAGCTCTGGAGGAGTCAGCGAGACTTACAGGCGTTTGGCAACATGAAAACTCGATCTAAGATTTGCCAATCCCTGAATGCAAAGCCAAGGTCTGCTCAGAGCGACGCTTGAAAATAACGCGGAGATTAAATGAAGTTTTGTTTTGTTTTTTCTCCAATCAGCAAAATGCGGAGCGTGTGGCCCAGGATATGCAACTCCTCTGGATGCCATGAAAGGCAAGTGCTTAACAGAAAAAAAACCAAAAGGGGGGTTGAGTGGAGACCTTTCCAAACTGCCCTCGGAGTCTCTCGCAGGAAGAAGTGTCTCTCTAGGACCGGAGAAGAGGAGGAGGGACTGTGGGACATTCTGCGGGGACACACTTCAGTGACAAACTTCTGGCTCGCTCGCAGCTGTGCGAGCGTCTGTTGTGTTCTGCTCTTCCCGGCAGCGTCGGGCTAAATCCTGAGCCTCGCTAAAGCCCTGGAGGCGTTTTGCTGCAGCTTTTAATAGAGTCAGAACCTCACCTTGAGTCCTATCCTCTGATATAGTTCCAAAGCCTCGATTTTACAGCTTGTAACGAGCAGGTTTGGGCGCGGGTGGGCTGAGAGCCGGGTGCTGGCAGCAGGAGTCGTCGCTTGGGCGGCTGGGGAAGGGAGAGGCTCCTCGTGGCCGTGCGGGTGGGAAGGTGGTCGCCAGCCCCATCCTTCTTCAGGAAGAGAATCGCATCCCAGAGCCCTTACATCAGGAGGGCAGGGGGGTGGAAAGGCCCCCCAGCTGAGCTGGCTCTTTCTCCTGGTGATTTCTGGCTGCTCCGTAAAATGGAAATATCGAGGTTCAGCTTCCTGGGAAGAATCACGATTTACAGGGACGTTAAACCTGGAGAGGATTCTCTTAAAAGTTAACCACAGCTTTTTCTAAAAAAAATAAATAAAAAAAATTAAAAAATAATAGTTTTTTTCACCGCGTTAAACAAAACTTCTTCTGCCTCGACAGGTCCCCGGGAGGAGATTGTGTACGTGCCTTGTATCTACCGAAACACGGGCATAGAGAAGCCCGACTACCTGGCCACCGTGGACGTCGACCCCAAGTCCCCACACTACTGCCAGGTACCCGCGTCGACGGCTCCAAAAAACGGCGAACGTTTGGGAGCAACGTCGTCATTTTGAAGCGGATAATTGTGTCGAGAACCAGTCGAATCCTGGGCTGATTTTCTTATTAGGTTACTCAAAGCTGACATTTATCTCGTTAGTCTCAAGACACTTTCAGAGCATCTTTGTGCTCGGTATTTGAAGAGTTCCTTTTGTAACGCTATTACTGCTTTATGGGAGTATTAAGCTCTAGAAGGTGATGTTTCCTCAGGGTGTGTCAGTGGCACAGAATTCATAACGTAGGATGTCTGATACCCTGGGAAATTCTACATCAGGTGTTACAAACCTAATCCGTTTAGTTCCTAAAGGGAAAGCTGTGGGTAGGGAGCTCCCAAGGCACCAGATATTGGTGAAACTGCTCGGTTTGTTACCGCCAAACGTCGACACGCGGGGCTCGTACAGCTCCAGTTCCTCCAAGACGCTCTGGACTCTGATCCCTGCGTGCTTAAGGAGCAGCAAATCTGGTTTGACCACAAAGGTTTTCATCGTTTGTTCTCTTTTTAATAGCTGCTGTTTGGGGTTTTATTGTGGAGGAAACAAAACTTAGCTGTAGTGTTTCAACTTTGTCATACGGTGGAGAAGTAAAAATCAGGAGCAAGGGTACAAACGAACGTTTGCCCCAGTCAGGCCCAGCTGGGTCGGGTAAATCCTGCAAAGTCAGAGATTTGCAGCACACGGACGAGTGTTTTCTGTCCCCCCCAGATCATTATTGTATGTCTCCTTAATTAGCTTTCAGAGATTTGGATTAATTCAATGGGATGCACCATTTAACAAACGCGATTGTGGTGTCCGTCTCTGTTCTCCAGCTCCGCGTATCTCGGGCTGAACCTGCTCCCTGAACAACTTTATTAATTTATGCTCTGACATAAAGACCCACTTCTTTGCCTTGGGGAAAAACTGCGCCAGGCTGGGTCTCGAGCCTGTCTCTGCCTTTGCAGGTGATCCACCGGCTGCCCATGCCGAACCTGAGGGACGAGCTGCATCACTCGGGGTGGAACGCCTGCAGCAGCTGCTTTGGGGACGCCACGAAGAGAAGAAACCGTCTGATCCTGCCCAGCGTGATCTCTTCGCGAGTTTACGTGGTGGATGTGGGAACAGACTCGCGAGCTCCTAGGATCCATAAGGTATTTTTGGATGACTTCAAGCTGGGGTGTGTCTCCTGTAGTCTGACCAAACCACGGTGATTTATGGACTCCAACCTCAAATAAGAGCAGGGGAGCTGGGCCGGTTAAGGAAGCTTTTGTCAAACGTTAGGAACTTGGGGGATTATGAAACTCCTACGACTTATTGATAAGCTACACACAAAAATCTTGTGCTGAAGAAATGCAGGTGAGCGTGGTGTCAAACACTGGCAAATCGGGAAGTCCTGGAGTTGAGCCTGCCTCTGCAGTCGGAATTTCAGCCGCAGCAGTTGCACGCTCTGTGACTGATTTTGGTTCGAGGTCACAAGGCAAACTCCCGAACAACGTGCTTGGCTGAGCACATGGAGATGGGATGTTTATCAGAGATGAGTTCAAATCTGACCGGGCTTTCACCACTCCTTCCTTCCTCCCTCTTTGAAACCTGAACTCCTCGGGGTGGAGCGGGAACCCTGCGGTGGTCTCGGCGAAGGTGACCGTGACTGGGTTTGTGCTCGTTTCAGATTGTTGAGCCAGTGGAGTTGTTCTGGAAGGGTAACGTGGCGAATCCTCACACCTCTCACTGCCTGGGCAGTGGTGACATCTTAATCAGCTGTTTGGGAGACCCTTCTGGCAATGGAAAAGGTATCAAGCCCCTTCCTTACTCTAGAAAATCGTGTGCGGTGGGGAAGTACCGTGCTGCCAAAGCTGCAAAGGTAGTAAAACACTTGGCATGTGAAGTGGAAACACCCTGCAGATGCTAAGTGGTGAAACCTGCTCCTTTTCACGGGGTTTCTCTCCTCTGGGCCATGTGCAAACCTGTCCCTGAACAGGTGCCCGTCGTGACAAGGATATGGGTGACTCCTCCAGGATCTTCTCCAAGATATCCCTTAATTGAAAAGTTCTCTAGGAGGGCTAACAGGTTTATTGGAATGATTTCAGTAGAAACAGAGCTTAAAAAAATTCATTACAATGTGATAAAGGTCTTTAAAAATCCAGCTTGCGCTGCTTTAGTCCACAAAAGCAACACCAATTCAGTCACATTTTTTTCCTTAAGCATAGACTTGTGTATTTAGGAAATAGACATTTAAATATTAATATATGATCATGGTTGAAGCCGCGAATCTGTGTGAATGTCTTCACACAATTTTCTTTGGTTTCTGTACCAGGTGGCTTTGTTTTGCTGGATGGGGAGACCTTTGAAGTGAAAGGAAATTGGGAGAAC